AACTCTGCAATGGAAAATAGGCTTCAGAAAATGGCTCTTCCGCCTTTGTGCTCACTGAAATGTGAGTATATGTGTTCTACTGGAACAATCTTTCACAGAAGCCTGTTGGCGAAAATTAAAAAGGCATGCACAGTCCTAAAGACAGCAGTGTTTTTTTTAATATAAATTTCTACTGCATGTTATTGGTGTTTTGAAAGAGCAATTCAAATGGTGCATGTCTGTATCAGTTTGTTTCAAAAATGCCTCTTTGAAAAAGGATTGTTAAGTTCTGAAACATTTTGACATAGAAGTGAGATGTTTCTCTCCACCTGTTACATCTTATTTGGCTTGTGTGTAGCGTTTGGTCGCCATGAGTCATACAGCAATGTGTGTAAGCAGTCGCAGAATAAAAACTGTATTAAAACCATTAAGGTAACTGTAATAGGAAGAATAACAAAATATATATTTTTATATTTTATTAGTAGTTTCATAATGTATTTCTAATTATTATTCAATAGTTACAATAAAGTATTCCCTACTCATATGCCTATAAACTCCCATATAAATTTAATTTTTGATGTGGAAAGTATCTCTCACACAATACATTAGATCAATTGGAAATCATTATTTATTAACATCAGTCCATGTCCTGCCCTGTATTGTCTCTACTAGGGGAATTCAGAGAGAATTCAGGAAACAGGGCCTCATTTCTTACCCAAGATTCATGCAAACATGTTTATTTGGATGCATCGATTGCTGCTAGTGACAATGCAGCCTTCTGGACAGATGGTAGACGGACCAATAGCCCCACGTTGTGGTTTTAATGGGTATCTGCAGATGACGTCACCAAGAGCCTGTTTTTTTTTTGTACCAGAAGCCACAGCTAGAGACTGTTATTATCGCCAATAGGTCACACGTTAAAATCATGGGGGAAGTCTGCCGAGACGGACAGACTCATTAAAGAGGTGAACTGGAAATGCGAGAATCTCAAAGGTGCAGTGCCTGTCACATTCTCTCTCTTCCGTGTCTAAGATACCGATCCATCCTTCTCTCTGCTGATGAGAGGCTCCATTTCTCCTGTTGGGGAGACGCTTTTACCCAAAGTCATGTGAATTTTTGAGAATACCTGGAGAAACGAGGGTTAGCAGCTGAGAGTCCATTTTAATCTTTTTTTGGTTGTGTGGTTTTGACATTCAAATTCCAATGTCTTAATATTGTTAAGAATAAAAAGTTCATTTGAAAGGGAGTATTTGCATTATGATGATATTATATTACCATTACATCAGTGACTTAAAATGATCTTAAAATGACAATGATATTATCACAATTACTTCTTGGACAATACATCATCCAACAGAAGTAGTTCATGACAGGCTAAGTCAGGGGGAGTTGATCAGCTATCCACAGACTGTCTGAGTCACATTGTGACATAGCTATTTCAATAATTATATTACAATGTCATTGTACTGTTTGCCAACAACCAGTAGTAAACAGACATGCCTATGTTGGGGCTAACAAGTATATTAGTTGTTTTTTAGAAGTGTCAGGTTACTTTGTATCTGCATGCACTGTCAATCTGTAAATAAGACGTGTCCCTGTAGTGACCTTTTGCGATGTCACATTGAAACATAAATCGTAAACCAAAAGGATTACCCATGTTACACATCTTTTTCCAGTATTATAAAAACAAACAATCAATACATACAGCAAATTCCACTTTTTCAGTAGCCATTTACTGGTGTGTCAGGAGAGATTATGACAGTACAGGGGCACCAAAAAAAGCGGACTGAGTACCCACACAGCTGATTAATTATTTCATGCCTATAATATTGCCCTGATGCCTGAATCATTATTTATACCCAGTTTAGTAGAACAGCAACGCAGAACGGTCATATTTTCTTCATTTTCACAGGCTTCAAGGTCAGTTGTGATCAAAGCATTATTAGTCACACAGAGGCTTTGTAGTTTGGCCTGCTGTCTGTATCCATGTTCTTGTGTCTGTTTCTACGAAGTGTGAAGTTATTCACTTTCAGGGAGATGCTGTGCTTGGTTATCTCTGCTGCAGACACACATTATCTGTTTCGGTGTCCAAGAAAGACCCTGTTTAAACACTGCGGAGCTGAAATCTATGCTAAACCCACTTCAGTGCAACGAGTTTTCAGAGCTTTTGTTTTCTAAATTTTTTTAATTGGAATCAGTCTTTTCTGAAGAATATTATAGTTTTTCTCAGTGTGGTATTTATAACACACAACTAAAAAATGAGTCCCTGCACAAGTTTTCAGAGACCTTACAGTTTCATATTTGGACTACAATAATCCACACTCTCTGATATTACATTGTGTGACCTTTACCGTCTCTGTTACAGCCCAATAGTTACTATGACAATGGCTGTGGAAATTAGTTACACAGAGTGCTTATTATTTATAGTTTATTAGTTTTTATTTTTATTTAGAGTTCTTTAACAACAAATATTGAAATGTATTTTTATGTGAGAGATTTTGCAATTATTATTATTATAGACACTGATGAGGTTTTGGAGCGCGAGTTAAGTGCTGGAGCTCAGGCACAGGTGTCAAAATGAGAAAGTGCGGCTGAGACGCCCCGGGGGGGTGATACGTTTGGAGTGCGTTTGGAGAATACAGACTCACTAAATTCTCTCTCCGTTTTGATAAGTTTAGCAGTCAATGTGACAAATGAATATCCCATTGCTTACCTAAAGCAGACACCAATGTTACATATTCATAAAAAGAATTTCCAGAAGATTCTAAGAAGTTTCCATGACTGCCCCCAGACTTGTTCCTTCAACTGGAATCAAACAGCCGGGTGACGCTGGTGGTGACACCCGTGTCATTATCATGTGGCAGAACATGAGCTGGCTGGCTTTACAGTCCTAGCAGCTCCTTTTTGGAGGAAGCGGACGGGCTGATGAGGGTGGGGTGTCTTTAACACAAGCTGTTACTTTAAGTAGCTTGTGGGCGTCAGCATGGAGTGTCAGTCCCTGCTGGCCGAAATCCAACATGTGATATGAGGCCTCCTTGGTTGGCAGTTATGAAAGCTAATATAATTGCAATATTTGAATTAATAATGGCGACGTGACAAAACGTGCACTTCATGCGGCCTGCGAGAGGGACGGCAGCAGCTAGCTGGGCTCATGCCCGCACTTACATGCAGCACCACTGTGTGGCAGCATGGAGGACGGAGGGAGTGTGTGTGTGTGTGTGTGTGTGTGTTTGTGTGAGTGAGCGAGTGAGTGAGAGAGGCTGCTTACCTCACAGGGATCGGCCTGCACTAGACAGGACTGGCTCCCAGGAATGGGCTGCTTCTTTGGAGTTCCTGAGACTGGCCAAAATTCTTTCTTTGATATATGTCTTAATTGCTGTACATGTTACAATTTATTTATTTAGCAGATTTAGATAGATAGATAGATAGATAAATAGATGGATAGATAGATAGATAGATAGATAGATAGATAGATAGAAAACCAGGTGACAATAAAGGTTTGCCATAGAACAGTACATTCTTCAGTTAAAATGGCTGATAATAGACATGAAAAGATTGAAAGTTTCTTATTCTGAAGCCTGAGAGTTGAGGAGACTCTCACAGGTTCTTTACAGATGTGTCTCTGATTTGTTTTTTTTTTCATTGATAAACTTTTGTATCCCAGCCCCTTCCCTTTGTGGATAAAGTCCAGGATCAGCTAAAAAAAAAGCTAAAATCCTAAGACGTGGCAGGAAAACTTTGACGACTCTCCCATAAATTTCTCAGAGCGCATTTGCATGCTACTGTGTGATAAAGCAGCGCAGCAACACAGCTACACAGCCATGTAAACAGACCCATCCTTAGTCCTCACAAGATTTCAATGAATTACCACAACGTGCCATTGACAGGGCCGGATATGCAGAAGGAATGCAGGTTGTGAGGCTCAGCAGAGGGCACGTGTCTCCTTGGCGGGGCTGAAGCCAGCAAGCCATGTGACCAATAGGCTCCTCCCACTCACTCTCTGACCATTCAGGTAGGCAGGTCATAGTGAAACATTTTTGCCATATTTTTCACTCCATGCAAGTGGGGTGTGGATTTCAGACAAAAGGCTTACACATAAAAAAGAAAAATGAAACTGACCAAACCTTCAAAGCAACAATGTTTGTATTTAATTCATCCCTTACCTGGATAGTTGCCATACCTGTGTAAAGTCATAGCTTGTACTTGCCAGAGAGATATGCTCAAAAGATGATAGAAGTCAAACTAAGAATGCATGAATGGAACATTTTACACAGTTAACACTGGTTATTAATACTGTGAATAAATGCTGTCAAAGCAGCAAATGTACAATAAAACAATTCACTCTCTAACACATGATTCCATTGTATTGTCAATAAATTATGAATGACATATTGGTATATATAACAGCCATCCACACGCTAAATTTACACATTTATACATTTATTTGCGATGTCATATTTTACACTCACAGACAGACAGACAGCTATTGTAATTATATGTAGTGTTTTCATATGCGACATATGCGTTCTCAGTCTGTATAATCAATACACTATACCTAGAAATACAATTCTTAAAAAACCTAACGGGTAACCATAAGTGCAAAAATAACAGCTCAGCACAACAGTAGCGTGGAGAAAAAAATGGGTCCAACCCGGTACTAGCTGGGTGTGCGTAATTAAAGTAGCAAGTGCGTGTGTGATCCAGCGAGATATAGGCCTACGGGATTGTCGTATTAAGTGAAATCCAGCAGACGTGTCCTACCGCTGCCGCACGCACGGCCATCCCGTCGGAGACAGGAAGAGCCGCAGACCGGTCCGGCCTCATTCCATACGGGGTACTGTCTCACCCCCGCCGCTGCCCAATCTCCGGCCAAAACAGTCGCTCGCCAACCCATCTTACTGCTCATCATTCTCACTAGCGTCACGGCGCCGAGTGACCGACGTCGCCAAGGACCAATCACCTTCCCGGTCTCCTTCAAACCGACCAATCGCTGCCGCCCGCCCGCAGGAGCACGTCAGCATTTCGTATGCATCGATGTTGTGTGTGTTCATGAAGTCAGCCCAGTTAATATTGACAATAGGGAGGAAGGCGATCGGCCGAAATCGCAAAGACTGAGAAAGGAGAGAAAAGCGGAAAAGACGGGGACGCCCTGCAAGTAGCACAATCCGCGACAAGACGGGAAATGCAATCCGTTTCGGCCTATCGCTGTGTATGAGTGTATTATGATCTATGGGACTCGAAGGATTATTTCGTTAGCAAGCAAGCTAAAGGGTGCTCGGGGTCCGTGTGTCTGAGGAAGGCCGGAGTACCTCGCCGGTGTTATCTGCGCACTGCCCGGCCGTACCGGCTCGTCGGAGAAAGACGGAAAGCGCCAGCGTGCAGATACTGTGTAACAGGATCACTCCTTACCGCCGTATCCTCTGCGAAACATAGAGGAAGAAGGTAAAGTGCTGCCCTGCCAGCGGCACGCCGTGCACTCCGGCCGCCGCTCGCCCCGAACCGCGAAGCGCAGCAGCGGATGCCTACGCCTCGTCATTTTAAACGCCTAAAAACATCATTCTCCACAGGTTAAGAATACCAACGCGATAAGAAAGCAAGCAGTATTAAGGGTATGATTTGGGGGCTGTGTCGCAGCTTTACCTATGCATGGTTTAGTTATATGGTAGCTATTGGCAACGGCTAGTCGGAGCGCTGGTCGGTAACTAATGCAGCAGCGTAATAGCAAGACGATCATTTCTGAAGTGTAAGCAAACTGGAAAGTGTGCGTGTCTTTATATATTAGATTCTATTATATTTAAACACATACACATATCCATATGTGTTTAATACATTTTTTATTTAGGTTACTTTGATGTAACGAGCAAATGCAATTTCCGATTGAGATGTGTTGAAACCAAGCCCTCTTTTAAAATAGAGACCGTGTTAACAACTATGGTATTTCAGCTCAGGTTGTCACTTACCTGTGTGGTTAAATATACACCATAGTGAACCGCGCCTAGCTCGTTACCCCGGTGAGCGCCTGGGTTTGCCTGTTGACCTGTGAATGCTGCTGGAGATTGGGCAGGGACCGGAAAGTATGCGGCCATATCTCCACAGCTTCTAATTTACTGGCCCAGCTGAATGAATCCCTTAAGTTTATATTACACACCAGCTTTGGTGTTTCTGCAAATGTTCACCCACAGCCCCTGCTTGTGGGAGTTATCACATAGCTGAAGAACATGGATCTGTGGCTCTGCTGTCATTTATTTATCTGAAATCCTCATATCATTCAAGAAAAACCTTTATTGGAACTATAAATGATAACCGGTGCTTTTTCTATTCCTGAAATTTGTAGTATTGCGTATTATTTATGTTGGTTATCCACACTTTCTACACACAGATCAGTGCTCCTCGTGTGTCCATGAAGAAGGACCATTCAGGTGCTGCTTTTATGTAGTTCGTCCAAAAATGATCCACCCAGTTGGGATATGTTTGTGTTGAGTTGGGGGTGGGGGCCTCTTTAAGACCCCAAGGAAAGCACTCCGAGGTTGTTTTTGGCAGATAGACATGGTTTTTGCCTTCCAGGAGACCTCATAAGGTGCTTGGACTCTTTAGAGGGTTCCAACCACCACATTGTTCCTGGCTACTATATTTTGGTATCGGTCTTTCATCACTGTGTTGCTTGGTCTCCTGATGAACTCAGGGAACAGATCTGTGCTGATGAATATATCCCTTTTCTTGGAAATTTGGCCTTTCCCAGTCTTCCTTAGTCAGTGGACCGGGTGGTTTCTCCAACTGCTTGGGAATCTCCTTAAGTTGATGGGACAGAGGTTTGTGTCTCCAGCTTCTTTACTTTTCTGCAAGGAATGTGGAAGTGCTTTTTTTTAATCACGCGTCGACTGACGTAGGAGACCTTTTGTATTATTTTAAATGCAGTCTCTGGTAACATCTTCATTTTTAATGGTGGATGCAGTTCCATCCATCTGTCTCCCATAATCTGTTATCTAGAACAATGCTGCGGTTATCAGGGAACCATTCCCAGGAAGCGTAGAGCCCAAATCAGCGGCAAACTCCCCGGTATGGGATGCAAGTCCATTGCAGGTTACGCAGTAACCTTAGAAAGACCCGCACAGACACAGGAAGAACTTGCAACTTGGGTGTAGTTATGAATGTTCTTAAGTTTATGACGTGCTGAAATGTCATCACATTCTCCTGTTCACTCTTCTTTTATCAGCTTTTTTTATTGATGTACTGAAATGTGATGTATAACAGGCTGGGTGATAGGGCTGCTGCTGTGAAATCGACGTAGCTAAAGTTGTCTAATTTAAGGTCGGCAGCTTTAGCGACCAGGATGAATCACCTTTCATCAGTGATTGGGTGCGAAGGCCCATTGTGGTGTCAGGGTGGTTATTGTCAGCACTGTCTCTTGCTGTCTCAAGGCCGTAAAACCTCATTGAAGCCTGACTATCTCAAAGTAAGCCTTCAAATCACTGAATCAACACTGGAATATGGGCATGAAGTATAACAGAACAAAACAATAGAAAAGTTAAAGGCTTCAGCAAACATCTTCATTATAGTTGTGTTACGAAGGTCAGTTTTTCGAGTGGATTTATAGGTGTTTTGAGAAATCTTAACAGAAGGAACCTTGGAACTGGATCTCAAAAGAAGTGTAAATTTCTTTGCAAGGGAGACCAGCTTAGAAAATAGATTAGGAATCGTGATCTGCAGTTATATCAACATTGCCGAAAGGGAAGGAGGCAGCTGATGAGGTAGAGTATCCATTAATGTTTTTGCAAGACTTTTGCAGTATCTGACGCTGTCAGATAAGGTTCTAACCCACCTTTCTATGAATGGCACTTTGCTTTCACCGAACCTAAAGGGAGCTGCTTTTGCTGCCAGAGTTACGGCCCCTGTAAGGTTATTGCTTTTCCCCAAAAAGTGCACAGAAGTTAGGAGTGATGGGCACCTGCTCACCACAGGCTGCATTGCTTGCCATTATTCTTCGCTTCTCCACAGCTCTCCGGGAGCTTTTTTTATGAATGATTTACCGATGAGCTCCGGAGTGCTTCAGGTGTGGTGAGCCAGCGTGAGGCTTCAGTTGACGCCCTGGTCTGGGATCATGATTATTCTCTTTGCCTGCCAGGCCTGACCTAAGGTCTCCTGCAACATTCACCGCAGCTGTAAACACATGCCCTGTAGAATATTATGGTTAATTAGTCCTACTGTGGGACAGTAGCGGTCTTTATGGATGTAAATATCTCCTCACTCCCTTCCTTGGTGGTCCTGACATCAGGCTGAGTCTGAGAGCTGTGGCATAAGGCATAGTGCTAATCGTCTCTGGCTTCCTCCTTTGTTGTTTCTTATAATTTTACTTGAAATAACCTTTATTAATATTCCGATTATCCAGTGTGGAGTTTAAGGGAAGATAATGGTAGCACTTCTCCAGCTGATGCACTGTTCTGTTATGTTGAATTATACAGGAAAAGCATGATGTCTGCTAACCCTGTTTAGTTCTGGTGACTTAAGATTTTTAGCTGGAACTGAGCTGCTATTTAAATTCATTAATTCCACTGTAATAATAATACAGTAGCATCCACTGTCTACGTTTCTGCATTAATTGATTTATTTACACGTTGTCTTGGCTGTGACATTGGCAGTCATATGGTGATTATGAGGGTCAGAGGTTAACATTTAAAGAATTTTAAATCTGTCTGGAGTGTCGGCTGTTCAACACAGCCTTACTTTCTGTAATTTAAGATTTATTTAGATAGACTTCTCTTCAAAACTGGAATTGTTTAAGTGGCCTGTTATAATTATCAAAGAATGGTCACATGCTGCCGTAAATCAGTCCCCCATTGTCTATAATCCTGGGAGATTTGTATTCCCGGATGTTGTTTGAAAACTCACTCGAGCTGAGTAGTTTGCTCAGTCACGGTGTTGGCGAGTGGCTTAACCGAAGCGGTTCTGCGTCCTGTGGGAGGCTTTTCCCGGCATGTTGGGGAATGAAGAGTGGAGAAGCATGAAGAGCTTGCTCTGGCCTCGGCTCTCGGAAGCAGTCCGCCGGCCGCACCGTCAGCGGTCCTCCAGCCACCGGCAGCGGTCAGCCAGCCGCCCGCACCGACAGCGGTCCGCCAGCCGCCCGCACCGACAACTGCACCTCCCCACTTGGGTCTTTGCACCCCCAGCCTTTGGGCACACGCCGCAGTCACCGCTCAGCTCTTCATTTTGGTTTCTTTTTAGAATCTATCAAAGTCGTGTGCTAAGGATGGCTTTATCAGAGCAGAATTGCAGTGGGGGACAGTGTTCTGTAGCTGATTGAAACCGTACAGGAGCAGGTGGAGAAGAAGGGGACAATGGAAGCATGTGTTGCCGTAGCCGTTTGGGAGGTGCAGAGACCCAGAGGACACTGAGATCTCCCCTCAGTCCCCTCCTGGAACAGCGTGGTTGTTTGATTCAGTCGTTGGTCTCCATCTCACCCGGATTGGCTGCACTCCCTCTGAGCTGTGGTGAACGGTAATGTGTGCTGTGTGTTTGGGCTTCTCTGTGGCTTTATCTCCGTCGTTTTGGATTCACGTGTAAAATACACAGCCCTGAGTGTTGCTGGTGACTCACGGCCCAGTCAGTGTGCAGGGCCGTTCGGCTCGGCCACACCGTAAGGGCCTGGGTTTACGCTGAAGCGCAGTGGACCTTCCATACCATGAAGAGGAACTAGGCATTGCGAAAGACGTCATGTCTGTTGACACCCAAAACAGGTTTTTTTTTTTAATTCTTGGGGGGGGGGGTCATTGTTCCAGCTTATACGGTAGCTGTACCAGATCTTGCCCGATGGTGTTACCTCACTAAGTGCGTGGGCTCCTCGAGCTGCTCCAAAACAGCTTGTGGCACCACAGTTTGTTCAGTCTCATCGTAAAACACGCATGCTGTCATCAAAATTCTGGGTGAGCCGAAGACTGAATTATGTGGTACTATATAGGCTGTCCGCTGTGTTGTTTCCCCATTCTTTGGTAAATAAAGGTGGTTTTCAGTTAAAAGCCATGACAACGAAATGTTGCATACAGTCGATCCATGTGTCTTGGTGGGACGTCGGTGGGAATCGAGAATTTCTTGGCTGCCCTCTGCAGCTCGGAGTACGCGATAGTCAGCAGTGCCCTGGAAGTCCTGACCTAAGAAGGCATCCGTTGGGGGTAAATGCGGAAAATGGCCAACTGACTGCTGCGTAACTCATTTTGAAATCCAGCCTTATGAATTCTGCATTTTCTTTGGTTTAAGCTTGTTTACTGCTGTGAGATTGTTGCAGGCTCTATTCAAACATCTTAACTAATGTGTTTGTATTAAGTACCTACCCCGTTGTGACCTCTGCTGTGGGCTTTTGGGACAGGACGGGGGGCCGCGTGCCTGTCTCCTTTGACCGCCCCCCTCCCCTTCCTGTCGTGCCCGATCAGGAGGTCCTCTCTGTGGGTGTCCTTGCCCTCTTCCTCTCTCGCTTTGTCAGGATCTCAGTTTGTGCTCGAGACGGTTGGCTTAGCCCACAGTGTTTACATGTCCTGCTTTCCGGCCTTGCCCTCGACACGGAGCGGACCCAGCCTTGCCCTCGACACGGAGCGGACCCGACCTTGTGTGCTCCGCTCACTGCCTGTAGTCCTGCATGTTGCTGTGATAAAGCACTTTGTAAATCAGTTTGTTTAAACACTAAATGCACTAGAATTTTGAAAAGTAAGCAATGGTCGGTGGTCTTTGCCATTTTATGCTACCCATATGCCTCCATTTGTGGTGCATGTATATATTTTTAAATGTGCATATATTAATCCTCCAGAATGCAGCATTTTCCATTTCTTTACATTCAGTTATACTAAGGAGTAGGGATGTAACGAAACTCACGATTCTGTACGATTCACGAGTTCACAATACAGTTTTCTCACGATTTTTTAACAGAATGAGCTGCAGACAAATTTAATTTAAAATATTCCTTTATCTTTCTATACTGTGCAGAATGTGTCCTCCTCTTAACAGTGCAACTGAAATTGAATAAAATACAGTTTAAAAAGAATCCCAAATCAAAATAAATTTTAAAATCTTCAAACGGTAACGCTTTACATTAACTGCACCTTCATAATGCTTTTATACTGCATTCATAAAACATTCAGAACACCTTCATAATGTATTCATTAAGTATTCAGAAATCATTCATAAACATCATGCATGTATACTTTCACATCCTAACATCCCTTAACAGCTGTAATATACATTAATAAAAAACATTATATAATAATAACATTACTGTATAATCATATAGTGTTAATGTGTATTAAAGCTGTTAAGGGATGTTAGGATGTTACTTGCATGCTGCTTATGAATGTTCTATGAATGCATTATGAAGGTGCACTGAATGTTCTATAAATGCATAATAAATGCATTATGAAGGTGCATTTAATATGAAGAGTTACCAAATAAACTAAGGCTTGCATGTGCAGCTTTTTAGCCTGGTTTGCCCTTATAATAATCTTCGCTCTGGCGGTGGTGAACTGAGCTCACTGTGGTGCCGGTGGACATGCTGAAGCATGTTCGTTGTGCTATTTGTTTATGTTATCAGTCTTTTATATTGTTTGCATGCAGTTTTTGTCTTGTCTGTACTTTTCTCGCCGTTTTCGTTCGTGATTACCGGAAAGCTAAAATGCTGCCACACCGCCAATTTAAGACCGGGGGTGTGTCCTCAATTTCAGATTCGCTCGCCATCTCTCGTTCGGTCAAAATCAAAAACATACAACGTCGACGCGAATACACAGTGACATCTGAAGTCGAACTGACGTCGTGAAATCAAATGTAATATCACACCAGTTTTCCTGTTAAGTAAAGTACCGTGAAGTACTCCTAAAGTAGCGATTAATTTTTTGCACTTCAGCCAGTTTTAATCGTCATACATTTACATAGATTTTTAACCGATTCGCGATTCATCGTTACATGCCTATTAAGGAGTTACTTTTGAAAGTTAACATGAGCATGTTGGCAGTCTAAATACTGCAACTTTAGTTAAAGTACTTTGAGTACTTTGTTGAATGTAGCCCCTAATAAAGGCTGTTTTGCGGAGTATCCCACAGCATTGATTGTGTTGCATATGCTCTTTTTCCCCAGAGTCCTGAGGGAGTAGGTATTGAGCTTTCAGCTGGCATATCCTACCCTCATCATTGCTGCCCTGTGTTTGAATGTGCTGGTTGGTCTGTCTGTCTCACTTCTTATACCCCATCCTTTCTGGTCTTCCCTCCCCAGCAGGGCTATGTCCTCAGCAGCCACCACGCCCCCATCGGTGGACAAAGTGGATGGATTTTCTCGGAAGTCTGTCAGGAAGGCCAAGCAGAAGCGCTCACAGAGTTCCTCTCAGTTCCGATCTCAGGGCAAACCCATTGAGCTTACTCCGCTGCCCCTGCTGAAAGGTATGGACCTCTCGCCCCCCCCATCCCCTTCCCGCCCCGCCCTGCCGGCCCTTTCCACTGGAGTCTGCCTGGAATGCTGTTGATAGCCTGGTTCCACATGTGGGGCCTGTGTAGCTGGCAGTTCGCTTTGGTTTTCTTTCCTGCTGAGTGCTTAATTGATGAGGCCTCTCTTGCCGTGTTCTGCTGTGTTTTTGCGGCTGTTTGTGTGATGAATTCAGCCTTGTGACTTTCTGTGTTTCAGTGCTCCTGCGTTTGTACTTTACTGCTGTCTTAGATGCATTTTGGTGAAGGATTGGGCTGACTGCGTTCACAGCAGAACTAAACTGGAACTGACATGCATTCCATGTGTCATCTCCCCTTCTAGCTGTAAAGATTGATTTTTAAACACATGACATGCAAATTTTCAGACTTGTTTTCAATATTTGTATAATTTGAGTGAGTGGCTTGATTACACAACATAAAGAATTTCTTAGTGACTTAGTCGTTTCCTGTCTGATTTTCTGGGTGTGTGGGGTTTTCTGCATGGGGCTCTGTGCCTGTTTAAGGTGGAGTCAACGTTGGTCCCCTTTATTAAGTTAAGCAATTAACTAGCAGTGGGGGAATCAATTCATTTACAAATCGCAGTGCTTTGAGGTGGCGATTTTTGTATTTGCACGAGAGTTAAAAGTTGATTTAATCAATTTAATGATGTTGGTCACTTGTGTTACTAATGATACAGTTAAGGGGCCGACATGCAGGTGTGTGGCAAGGTACAATGACGAATAATCACATTTGTGGCAAGGTACGGTGACGAATAATCACGTGTGTGGCCAGGTACGGCGATGAATAATCATGTGTGTGGCCAGGTACGGCGACGAATAATCACGTGTGTGGCCAGGTACAATGACGAATAATCACATTTGTGGCAAGGTACGGTGACGAATAATCACGTGTGTGGCCAGGTACAACGATGAATAATCACGTGTGTGGCCAGGTACGGCGACGAATAATCATGTGTGTGGCCAGGTACGGCGACGAATAATCACGTGTGTGGCCAGGTACGGCGATGAATAATCACGTGTGTGGCCAGGTACGGCGACGAATAATCACGTGTGTGGCCAGGTACGGCGACGCCACCATCTCAGATTAAATCCAAAGTCTTTGCAAACTTTGAATTCTGTAAAGTATCGGACACCTAGACACGAGTATGGCTGTCAACTTGGGTTCATAGTTTGGTTCAATTTTGAAATAGCAGAGAGAGAATTTGTCTTGAAATTATTATTAAAACTGTGAACACAATAATGGTCTGTCAATAGTCCGTCTGTCGACGTGACTCAATAACCACCTACACTGTAAACATAAATATATTAAATAAAAATTTAAAAATATATAACTTCATCATGATGAATGGAATCCATTGTTTCTGTAGTGACTAACACCCCTATTATTGAGGGTGTATTGTGACAATATAAAATAAATAAATGTTATTTAAATTTAAATTAGTTTCATTTAAATGACTATTGATAAATAGACTCTCAGACTCTATGGGCGGGCTCTAAACAAAACATAACATCTCATTGGTTACATTGCAAACTAAGTCACATCAGATCGATCTGTGCATAGTCGGTTAAACTATCATTTCTAACCACGTTGTGTCTGTTCCTAGCTGAACTTATTTAATCCGTCTATCCGCTCTCTTATTGCTTTTACACAATCAACAAAATGTATGGAGGCTTGCTTATGACATAACGATAAAAATGACATTGATGATAATGACTGACATAATTTTAATGGTTGCCGGTATTTAATTGGTTGTTTAGACAATCATTTAAATAGGTTATTTACATAAACATTTAAATAATGTATTTATAAACAATAATTTAAATGACTATTTAAATTTTAATTTAAATAATCATTAAAATAGTATATTTATTTATTGAATATTTTCACAAAATACCCTCCATACCCTAAAGCCTTAGTTGTTATTTCTTGGCAGAAGTTCCTTAAATGCCACGGGAAGACTAACTCGCTCCGGCCGAACCCACACTCGGATGATGCCGTCTCGAATGAGAGAGCATGTTGGATGTGTTTCCAGTAACATATCCCAGTTTAGGTATAACAGAGCCGACACGCAGTCTTGGACTAATCAGCTACTATCTCTGGTGTTGCTATAATTTAATGGGAAACCAAAATGTTCTCAAAGTACTTGGGTCTTTGAGCTCTGTAGCACTAGCAGTAAGCAGCTCACAGCCACAATTAGCGTGATGTTTTCTGTTTTGAACATCTGCTTGTGAGTTTAAGTTTCGCCCGTGTCATAAATGTATTCATTGGGTTCATTGAAACAAAATGATGCAATGTTTCCTCTCGGATGGTTTTTCAGTAGTGGGGGCAGGCTCGCCGGAGCCACCCCACCCTCCACAAAAGGGTTTTGTTGTCCCTGAGTGATACGTGTGCATAGGACCCTGGCGGTTGGATTGAGTATCATTAGGTATTAAATATGAAATAAAGTCACACTTCACTGGAAAACATTGGGACATATTTATTTATACCGTTTAATACACAGGTGTCAAACTGCAGTCCTGGGGGGCCGGAGCCCTGCACTTTTTTGGGTTTCCCCTCATTTAACACACCTGATTCAACTCCTTGTGCTAATTACCACACAGCTCTTGAGCTGAATCACTTGTGGTGGAAGTGGGAAAGAGCTAAGCTACACAGGGCTCCGGCCCCCCAGGACTGCAGTTTGACACCCCTGGTTTAATACCTAACGCCTCGACCCACTACTTACTGAGGCATTCTGCCCCTCTGCTTCCTCCCGCTTCCCTCTGCTCTCCTGCTTCACTCACTTCTACTACTCCTGCCTGTCTATTTGTATTACCTGTCTAATTGTATTACATTTGATAATGAATAAGATAATTCTCTCACATCACAAGTATTTGATCACACAGCCGCATATTGTAATAGACACCTCTAATATTACTTTTTGTAGAACCACAAAGCATCTTTCCCTTCAAAACTTCAGGGCATAGCTATTTTTGAGGTATTTTTTGGGGTCTACTAGAACAGATTTACCTGCTTCAATGTTCCAAAAACATTTTTCTCATACAGTCATTTCTAATTACCCTCTGTCTGAAATGCTCTGTTAGAGCTTTAAGCTCCATCCCCAATGAGCCCATTGTGCTCTGATTGGTCAGCTTGCCATACATAGTCTGCCATTGGCACCCCTTTCTCCTGCTGCATACTCTATGGCCAATAAGGATTTTGTTACAAGGTTGACCTCCCCATGTTACGGAAATAAGGGCTGGAATTCCACCAAGGTGTTACTCCTTTTGGCGTGTACTCTGGGGCTTAAGACTTTACATGCAAATAAAGCAATATAACACACTAAAAGGTAGGGAAAACTGCTCTGTGCTCAAGGCTATGGGCACCACTGCTACACACAGACCAGACCTCAAAGCTGTAGACAGGAGCAGCATTCCCATGTAATGAGAGGTCAAAGGTCAGCTTCTCTGTGGGTGCAGAGAGGCATAGAGTGAGAGGTAAAGGGACATGAACCTACGTAAACAGTGGGGGGGAAAAGGAGAGCAGACATGCAGAGACTACCTGGTTCACTGCTGCCAGGGTGATAGTGGTGGCATGTCCCACTTCTGAAGATGGTAGATTGAAGTTCTGTGTATGTCACAGAAGGTGCTTTCTCACCGAAGTTCAGGAACCTGGTGCCAAGTTCCTGGCTACTTTCAGTGGCAACTCTAAATTTCGTTGTGTTTAATACTACGTATTTTATGCAATGACAAATAAAGCTTCTAATCTAATCTAATCTAATCTAATATGCCGTTTGTGACGTTTATGCTAAATAAGAATGGGTGACACAAAATTTTGTGGATTAAACTTCACACACAAAGTTAGCAGCACCGTAACTAAAGACCGGCCCCTGTCACTGCCATTTTCTAAAGACCGGCCCCTGTCACTGCCATTTTCTAAAGACCGGCCCCTGTCACTGCCATTTTCTAAAGACCGGCCCCTGTCACTGCCGTTTTCTGTGGCGGAGGGGGAGGGATTTAGTCAGGTTATTCACCACAACATTTAGTAATGCCACAACATTTATTATTGATTTTTAAATCTGGCCTGTAGATTGATCTTCTTCTATTTTCTGTACAATATAAACAGGATGTAATGTCGTTCCATTAATCTGTTTGACCGCTGGCACCCCACAAGCGCAGCACGTGGCTCAGACGTTAGTCAGTTCTCGGTAATGACAATAACATACAAAGATACGCAGCTCAAAATTTGCACCACTAATATGTATGTTTGCTATAGTTAAGTGACATAGACGTACATGATGAGATGGAAAAATGACAGGAAAGCCAGAGCAGAGGAATATGCATCTCATTGTAATTGAGATGTTTTGTGTTTTCTCTGCCACTTCTGTCCATTTTTCCTTGTGCTTCTGTAGAACTTCTAAGTTGGTGCAGGTGCTTGTGGTCAATCAGCAAAGTTTATCACTATAAGCCTGGGGCTGCATGACTAAAGTTTTTTTTAAAGTCGACAGTTATGCCATGGAAGTCGTTGGCATTGACTGTTTGCTGATGACAGGTGAATAATGAGTTTGCCGTGTCCTGGAGGCTTAGGCTGTAAGTGGCTCGAACCTTGAGTCTTAACATGGATGTGGAGCTGTAACTGGCAGCAGCGGGAAGCGGTATGAATGCTAACAGCATGTCCGAGTTCCGCATGACAGAGCTGACAGACACAGTCCTGCTCTATATCCGCTACTCTCTCCAGTGCTAGTGTAATTAACTGGGAAACTACCCATTATGACTGACTATAACCAGCATTTGCCGTAATCAGCTCTCAGCCATACTCAGTGTGTGATGTTTTCCGCGTTGAACATCTGAGTTTGGGTTCCTCTTGTGTCAATAAATGTTGAAAAATTAAACTGCTTAATCGATCCCTTCACAAGTGTAGCCTCGAGGTGTTTGAGGGATGTCAGGCTAGTTTTAAGTTAATATTGACACTTAATGCTGCAG